GCATGGATGTTGACATCAACAATAACTACAGCCAGAAGCCAGGATACCTCTAAGTTTGACTTCAATCAATCCTCACGAGTTGACTTCATTCAGGAAAAAAGAAAGAAAGAAAGAAAGAAAGAAAGAAAGAAAGAAAGAAAGAAAGAAAGAAAGAAAGACAGACAGACCTAGGTAGCTCAAGATTGTTCGTTACTGTGATGTGATGTGATGTGATGTGATGTGATGTGATGTGATGTGATGTGATGTGATGTGATGTGATGTAGCTCAGTAGTAGAGCACTTGCATCATGTGTATGAGGTATTGGGTTTGATCCTCAGCACATGTGCACACACACAGACACACACAGTAAGTTGCAACCCAAACTGTAGTCCGCTTCTTGGCCACCCCAAATCAAGGTATGATCAAGCTCTGGTCAAAGAGACAAGAATCTGGTCAAAGAGACAAGAATATGGGAATTTTATAACTCTGAAGAAAGCTCACGCTCTTATCATGGGATCTTTCACCAATCAACATTACTGAAGAGGGAAAAACAGCTGGAGCTGTTGTGCCATCTTAGCCGTCTTATGAGAGTGGAGGCCAAATATAGCAGAGCAGGCACAAGGGCATGGAACCACAGAGAACCTGCCGTACCATCTCGAACAAGTTCCTCATCCCTGCATTGTGTCAAGATGATGGAAATATAAGATGAAGACAGCTGACCTCAAACAAACATTATTAACAACACAGTTTATTCGGGAATGTTGAAAACATAGTCTGGATAGTATTCTCCTGGGGAAACACACGTACTTTCCAGGACAAAAACAACACACATTCTACAGCTTCTAGAGGAAGGCATTGCTGGGTAGTAGGGATTGCCTTCCTTCTGCCAGAGATTGGAAGCACCAACTTTCTATCAGAGATGCAAGGCACGATGTTCCCATAATTTGCCAACTCTGTGTGTGTGTGTGTGTGTGTGTGTGTGAGAGAGAGAGAGAGAGAGAGAGAGAGAGAGAGAGAGAGAGAGAGAGAAAATCTTCCAGTCCAGTGTCCTTACTTCATTTAAATTGGGTTCCTGTATAATTCTCACAAAATGGAGTTCACTCAGAGCTCAGGGGTTCCTCCTGGCTCATGCACTCAGGAATTGCTCCTGGCGGTGCTCGGGGGACCATATGGGGTGCTGGGAATCGAACCTGTGTCGGTCATGTTGGCTGCGTGCAAGGCAAACGCCCTACCTGCTGTGCTATCACTCCAGCCCCTGGTAGTATGTTTTGATACGAGGGAACTCTGCCTTTCTTGGCCCTGAGCAAAGTTGGAAGTAGCACCTGCACACCTTCCCCCAAAACACACTTTCAGCCCTCTAAAAATTTCAAATATAAAATTTTGTATTTTTATGCAAGTGGAAATCAGTATAGCATAAGCAATCACATAGGTAATTGAGTCAGATCCGACTTCAGGACTCGATTACCATGGGTAGCCAATTTTGCTAATCCTGCATCTTCACTTGTATTACACTTAGCGATTATGAGGCATGTAAAGCACAAAGTGGTGTTTTTTTTTTTAAATGGAACATTTTATTTGGAGGATTTTAAGGGAAGGAGAGAGAGAAAATGAGAGAGAATAACACGCTCAAGAGAACACAGGCTTCTCCGAAGGCGGGGAGAGCCCCTACGCACATCCCAGCATTAGGTACGGAAGCATGAAAGTTCACATCTCAGAAGGGGAGATTAGAGCAACACATATGCTTGGGCACCATGGGGACACAAGCAGCACGTGGGACTGGGCAGCACATGCGCCAAACACAAAGTGGTTTTTGACACAAGTGTGTAATAAGTGTTTGACCGTATGGACAAATAAGAGTCTGTAATGCATTTTTATTTGTATAGCTTTTAACCTACTAACCTTAACAAAGTTCTCTTCCAGCCAATATTTAAACAAAAACATGGTAAGAATTTTTAAAAGACCATAAATTTTTAAAAAATCATAAAGCTGCATTTAAATCTGGTACTTAAATCTGGTATTTAAATCTTTTAAATAGGTTATTTTTCTTTTGTCCAAGCTTTAGTTTCTGCATTTGTAAATACAGAACACTGAGAAAAGCTGGACTAGAAATGCAGTTTTAAAAACAGTACTAATCTTAACATGGGCTGGAGCGATAGCACAGCGGGTAGGGCGTTTGCCTTGCACGCGGCCGACCCGGGTTTGATTCTTCCGCCCCTCTTGGAGAGCCTGGCAAGCTACCGAGAGTATTTTGCCCGCACGGCAAAGTCTGGCAAGCTACCCATGATGCATTCGATATGCAAAACACAGTAACAACAAGTCTTACGATGGAGACGTTACTGGGCCCGCTTGAGCAAATCGAACAACAGGAGGACAGTGACAGTGACAGTGACTAATCTTAAGAAAATTTCATTTAAACATACCTCCCATGGAATGCTATCTTATTCAACTCCGATGGAAAACGGTATGGAGGGTACTCAGTAAACTTAGCATTGAGCTCCCATATAACCCAGCAATCCCACTTTTGGGTATCTATCCCCAGGAGAGAAAAACATTCATTCAGAAGAATGTATGTACACCATTATTCATTGCAGCACTCAGTACAATAGTTCAAAGTTAAAATCAACCTAGACGTCCATGGTATTGGAATACTACATACACAGCTATTAAGAATGATAAAATCATGTGACTCGTGGCAACATGAATGGATCTGGAAAACATTAAACAAAGTAAGCCTGAAAGATAAACCTGGGTAAGCCTGAAAGATAAACCTGGGTGATAACATTCATATGTGATATTTAGAATAACAAAATGAGGGAATACAATGTTTTAAAGGAGAATGGCCCCATCAGCCTTGGTTCCAAAGTGTAGGGAGAAGGAGAGTGGAGGGAAAAGGAATAAAGACAGAAACGAAAGGGGCTGACAGGGAAGCCAGGTATAGAAGTGGTGCTAAGAAATGACAGAGGTGGGGCTGGAGCAATAGCACAGCGGGTAGGGAATTTGCCTTGCACGCGGCCGACCCAGGTTCGATTCCCAGGACCCCATATGGTCCCCTGACACCGCCAGGAGTGATTCCTGAGTGCAGAGCCAGGAGTAACCCTTGAGCATCGCCTGGTATTGAACCCCCTTCTGCATCCCCGCAAAAATGATAGAGCCAAATATCCAGAGTCAACACTTAAAGAGATGTAGATTTTTAACCACTTTGAAAGGTGACTGACAAGAGGGCAAGCAGCAGGACTGGAGGTAGAGGTGACGGGAGGGAACCTGGGAGCATTGATGGACGGAAGTTGACACTGGTGGTGGGATTAATGCTGCAATACTGTATGTCTAAGACTGAGCTATGAATAAATTTGTAAATCAGTGCTCTAAGGGAAAGTGGAAAACATACCCCCGTGAATGTTACAACTTTATGAAAATCCTGCTTAGTTACTTAGTAACAGACACTATTCACAAAAGCATAATACTGTATGGTAAATAAAAAAAAAAGGAAAACCGGTTGCTGTTTCCTGGAGGACAAATTTAATTCTTACTGTCCCTTAGACTTTTGCTTAATCTCTGCTCTCCAGCAATAACAGCATCAGAACTTTATTAAATGGACAAGTGTGGAAGAAAAAAATCTTTCTCCTAGCTGGTCTTCCTTCCCAGATGCCCCATCCCCCTAACAAAGAAAAATTTTAGAGGAGGGGCATGTATTTAATCTTGTGATTTACATTTTTTTTTAAAAAAAATCTTTTGGGGACTAGACCACATCCAGTTAAGAGGTAACTCCTGGAAGTGCTTGTGAGACCATACCTTTTATATAATCATTCCAGGTTCAATATAAGTATTTTAAAAATCTCACTAGATTTACACCAGAAATTGCAACTCTTACCATACTGATGAAGGTAGCAGAGATTGAGCTGTTTTTCTCTACTGAAAGAATTTTAACTTTCACACACATGGAGATGTGAAAGCAGTCAAGTCACATTCCTTAGTTCTTTGTAAAATGCTGATGCAATAACCTTAAAATGATCAGCAGTCGCACTTTCCGCTCTAGACCACTGAACTTGATCAGATTTGTCCAATTTGAGAACTCAGCAATTTGAAGAGTTTAACACTCACTCTAAATCAAAAGTAATGTTCTGTTGATGTTAGCAAAAAACATTAGGCATCAGAGATTAGGCATTCTTCTAATTAATGACAGATTAAATATAGGTGCCTTCCAATGTTCAAGATTCAAGGATGAAACTTCTTTGAGGACCTTTAAGATAGCAATGTACCCTAAATCGAAATGTATGGATGAGCGTCTGTTTGGCTATTTCAGATTTCACTTTTTCTAAATAGGCTTTTTTTCTTAATTTTATCCAGAAATTAAGTTTATAAAACCCTCATAGACAGCCTCTAGAGTTGATGCCACTAGATTTTAATCTTTCAAAGGTTACAAATACACACTTTTCAGAAGACTTGCCAAAGTTTAAGCCACGCCCCCCCAAAAAACTCTTAGATATGAAGTATGCACCTTCAGTTATACTCATATTACGAATTAAAAAAACCCATTCTGATGCGAAACATACAAATACTGGATTATTTCACAACCATTCTAATAAATCATAAGCTGAGAATACAACCAATATTCACATATTCACACAACTTAGGGGAAAAAAGGAACTGAATTCCATTAGCCAAAAATAATCTGACTTTAGGCTTTGTTACTGTTCTCACGGTGATTCAACAAATAAATAAAAATATATTAATTAAAAAAATAATACTCTGGCTTCACTAATCCCTATTTCCAGCATGTATTAGGTAGAGTATAGCAGACAATGGAGTGTTCAGATAAGCGGAGTGAAAGACACGATTCCAAATGTTAATTAGTATTTGACATTAGCCACAGTTCTGACCTACTAAAAATAAAAATATATTAAACAAATAGTACTTTATACAACCTGAATAACAAAATTATATTTGCTTCTTGCCTAAAACATAAAAGGTTACTCAAAAAATTATTGGTATAAGATATGCTAAAGTGATAAAATTAGACAAAGCATGGTAAAGACTGCTTTATTGGTGGCAATTAAGTACAAGTCAATAAATATTGATCCCCAAAGAATTCAGATTAATGGTCCATTTATCAATTGTGGAATAACAAATTGAAGTCAATCCTGCTTCTTGGGAAATGAAGCCATAACCAGCTGATATATGGCATATGCTGTTCCTGAAAAATAAAATAAAAGCACTTACAACAAATTCAGAGATGAATGTCTAAATTAATAGTCAAAAAGTTCTCAGATAAAAGAATGGTTGACATTTTATGTTTATACAAACATAAAAAATATTTTCATAGGTATCAGGCAAAATTCAAAACACATATGAAGTTAATTCTGTTTAGCTTTAACATTAGTTTCCAAAGAAAACATTAAACATGGCCAAATAATGTATTTGTCAAATTAAAAATGATAAAATCTTTTCCAGATTAAAACACATATAAATTATTTCGATATTAATTTGAGAACGCTTGAGAAATGCTAACTCTGCCCCCAAAAGAGGCTAAAATACACAAGTGAGTCCTTGAAATATTTTATCTATGTAAAGCAAGCATATACTTTTAAAATGATCAAATTTTATGTACTAACATGTAGGATTTTTTGGGGGGAAGTGGGTGACTTGTATGGGCTACACCCTGCTATGCTCACAATTCTCTCATGGTAATGCTTAGAAAACAAGCCATCTCTCTGACCGACCCTATATAAATTTATTTTTAAACTAACTAGCAGAATGTCTAAAAAACAGTCACAGTGGAGTGGGGGCCAAGGCTGTGGCTCAAGTGTTAGAACACATGTTTTGAAGGTAGGTGCAAGTCCCGGGATCAGTGATCCTGATCCTAGTTCTGGATCACATCACAAGGAGTGACCATCACAATTTAAAAAAAAAAAAAAAACCCTCAAAAAATAATGGCATTGGTTAAAGAAAATTTATTTTGCCAAAGTCACTATCCAGTGGTTGTCTAGTTTGAGTCCGTAAGCTCAAAAGTTATCTACTGTGAACAGGGAAACTTACAAATTAAGTTCCAAATAAGAGTGCAGCCTTTTCAAACAAAAGCATTCTCATTAACAATTTACTCATCTCCAAAATAAGAATACATTACAAACGTAACACAAGGATTATAGAAACTTGTGTGTATGGTATGCCAGTACAATAAGTATCCGGTAGTCATTCAAATCTAGATTCCTTTCCTCCACTACAGATTTTGAACACCACAATTTTGAACTCTGCTTATAGTGGACACTTATGAGTATTACACTAATAGTGCTGAACAATGAATGAGCCTAGAAAACAAAAATCACAGCACTTGCAATCTACGTACTTTATGCACAGGTTTTGTTTCTGCAACAAAAATAAATATGTAAAAAAAAAAAAGGTAAGCATGCATCTAGATGTTTAATATACTATAGATCACAGTCAAAATGTTTAAGAACTTGTGTGATATGAGATGGGGCAAAAATGAAGGCCTTTGATTCCGCCGAAGGTTTCTAGGGCAGCAGTGGCATAAAGGCTCTGAAAGCCACCTTTATTCCAAGATAATTATGAAACTTTGCTGATTATTTTTAAAAACATTATTATGTTCTTACACAACACACAGGACCACCTTGAATCCTTACTGAAAGTACTAAGAGTTTCGATTCTGGTGACAGCCCTGTGTTAAAACGTTAGTATAGACTAGGGCCACAGACAGTGAAAGAACCAAAAGACAGGTTCAATCTCTGGTGCCACAAATGGTCCCCTGAGCATGTCAAAAGCAATTCCTGAGCTGAGAGGCAGGAATAAGCCCTGAGCACTGCCAGGAATACAGGCCCCTCACCCTCTCATTCCTCATCTCCATCTCCATAACCCCAACTCCCTTCAAAAATTCACTAGCCCAGGGACCTGGAGGAAGTGCCTGCCTTGCAAGCATCGGTAACACGTCCAAACCCACCCACTATCCTGTACTGTAGCCCCCCATTATTTCCTTCAGCACTGCCAAGAGTAACTCCCCCAATACTAGTATAGTGAAATTAATGCAGTTGTTAGTTACTTTCTCTGTTAAATCTTTATAAATCAAGCATGCTGTCTTACCACCAACTGTAAGAATCATAGTGGCCCTATACAGGAGGGCATCAGACACCCCACCCTTCAGATGCACTGGAATTCCATTATCCTCCTAGGTTAAAGAAAAAATAATAAGTCATGTGTTTCCAAATTAGTTCTAAAGATTAATTTATTCACATAAGAATACGTGACTCCTTAAGTCTCCAGAATAAAAACATTTTAAAAACCAAATTTAAAAAGATCTACCATTTTCCTGATTCTTACTTCTTTTGAAATAAGCTGAAACACTCCATGTCTGAAACTCAGTATTATGCACTGGAATTATGATTTGATTATTACGATTATTATGAGCAGCTTTGTAAATCACAGTGATAAAAATTAAAATTAAGAGAAGAATCCCTAGAAGTTAATTTGATATCCAATAATGATGTGCTTTCAAAACAAATCCTCAAATTGTGAAAAATATACTCATTGTGTTCATCAATTTATTAAAAATAAATCAGTAATATATCTGTCACACTCTATATTTAGTCACAAGGTAGGTTCCCTCTCCGCTCCCCCGAAAAGGTGGGCTGGTGAGATAGGATAGCTGGTAAGGCACTTGCTTTCAATTTGTCACGTGCCTGTTTGTAATCACAATTAACCTTTTTTAATGAGGGAGGCAGGTGTTACCCATACACAGATGTGGCTCAGGAGCGAGTGGGAGCTCATTGCTCAGGAGTCTCCTTGGTGGTGCTTAAGAGTACCTGGATCGGATATACAAGACACTAGTATAATTGTACAAGATAAAAACTTCCAAACCCATCAAAAATGGGAGAAGAAATGAAGAGAAGTTTCCTCAAAAAAGAAATGCAAATGGCAAAAAGGAACATGAAAAAATGCTCCACTTCGCTAATCATCAGGGAGATGCAAATCAAAACAACAATGAGATATCATCTCACACCACAGAGACTGGCACACATTCAAAAGAACAAAAGCAACCTGTGCTGGTGTGGATGTGGGGAAAAAGGGATGCTCTTTCACTGTTGGTGGGAATGCCCACTAGTTCAGCACTTCTGGAAAACAACACAGACAGCCCTTCAAAAACTAGAAATTGAGCTTCCATATGACCCTGCAACACCACTTCTGGAAATATATCCTGAGGATGCAAAAAAGCACAGTAGAAATGACATCTGTACCTATATGTTCATTGCAGCACTGTTCACAATAGCCAAAATCTGGAAACAACCCAAGTGCCCTAGAACAAATGACTGGTTAAAGAAACTTTGATACATCTACACAATGGAATACTATGCAGCTGTCAGGAGAGATGAAGTAATGAACTTTGCTTATAAATGGATAGACATGGAGGGTATCATGCTAAGTGAAATGAGTCAGAAAGAGATAGACAGACACAGAAGGACTGCACTCATTTGTGGAGTATAAAACAAAAAAACATGAGGCTGACACCTAAGGATAATAGAGATATGAGAAGATAGATTGCTCCATAACTGGAAGCCTGCCTCATGAGCAAAGGGGAGAAGGCAGCTGGAATAGAGAAGGGATCACTAAGGAAAAAAGATGGCTGGAGGGATAGTTCGGGATGGGAGATGTGTGCAGAAAGTAGATAAAGGACCAAACATGATAACCTTTCAGTGTCTGTATTGCAAACCATAATACCCAAAAGTAGAGAGAGATTACGGGGAATCATGTCTGCCATGGAGGCAGGGGGAGGGTGGGAAAAGGGGGGTGTACCGGGGATATTGGTGGTGGGGAATGTGCACTGGCGGAGGGATGGGTGTTTGATCATTGTGTGATTGTGACCCAAACATGAAAGCTTGTAACTATCTCACGGTGATCCAATAAAATTAAAAAAAAAAAGTACCTGGATCAAACCTGGGCCCCTTGTATACAATACATATGCTAAGCCTGTCCAATTATCTAACTAACCCTTAAATTAAAATAATTTATACCCCCGAGAATCTTGCAGTACTCCTTCTTTACAGCTTCTAGGCTTTGTGAAAGGTTTTTACTTCCCAAATTCTAAGATTCTAGTATATTCCCATGATGATCATGGTTAATTTTGTATGTATGATTCAAAATTATGGAGGGAAGATCTTTTATTTTTTTGAGCTACACAATATTTTATCAGATGTGGGGGAAAAAAGAGGAAAATATTCTATAATTTTGTCACCACAATTTAACAAATACCTTAAAACTTTTTGCTTTCTAACCATATGTATATTTTATATGCTCTGTGTCACACAATGGTAAATTCTTTTTTGTTTATATTTTATTTAGTTACTTTTTAAAAACTTTTTAATTGAATCACTGTGAGACAGTCCATTACAAAGCTGTTCATGTCTGGAATTTCAGTCATACAGTATTCCAATACCCATCCCTCCACCAGCGTACATTTCCCACCACCAATAACCCCAGTTTCTCTTGCTCCACCCCCCCTCCCTGAGCTTACCTCTATGGTAGGCACTCCTTCCCTCCTTCCCTCCCTCCCTCCCTCCCTCCCTCCCTCCCTCCCCCCCCAATCCTTCCTCCCTCCACCACCCCCGCCCCAGCCCCATTGTGGTTTGCAATATGGATACTGAAAGGTTATCAAAATACCCCTTGCCTACTTCTACGCCTCGGGTATTGTCCGCATGATCATTCCCAACTTCTGTTGTCACACTGGGCTCTTCTCCATCTCACCTACCCTCAGCCCCCCACACACTTGTGGTTAGTTCCAACCACTGAGCAGTTGAAGGGCAGCTCTTAACATTCCAACCACAGCCCACCAAGGGCCACTATGTGAGGGAATATGCTAATTGGATTACTGCAGGATCACTCACAGAGACAGTAAATGTCACATTATCTACATGAAGAAAATGAACACAATTAAATTACGTGTAATTCTTCTTACAATAAAATAGGGATGGGGCAGGTATGCTCCTTATTTACTTCTACTGCTTCTGAGACACTGAGAATATTTTTAAAATCCTATACTGTCTGAAAAAGAATTTACATGGATAATTTACCTTTTAATATTTTATAAAGGAGGGATCTAGCTTTACTTTTCCTTCAAACAGTCAGGTTTCCTAGTATGAACTTACTGGACCCTTCCCCACTGATATGAGAGCAGTTTTAACACATACTGTTTCTAGTTTTATGTTTTTCTGGGTCATTTTTATGATGCATTTGTATACTCCTGTCCAGTCATCCCAGAATGCTAAACTAATGTTCCAATGTCTAAAATACAGCCATCCCAGTTCCTTTCCTCTGCCCGCTGAAGGGTCTCTTGGACACGGCCAAGTACTCATTCAGCTATCCACAGCTTCTCATTTTTCTTTTGCCAATGCACCACGACTAACCACCGGAATCTCGACATGCAGCCACTTTGCTACACTTTTGGGGTAATCCGACCATTATTGCTAAACAACCGATGAAACAGACTTCATACCTGGAATAGCTTTTGTTTCTCCGGAACCTTATTTTCAAACTGCCTGCGGGAAGCAGTACTTATGGTCCTCTGGGCAATCTGGCGAAGAGCCTGAAACGGAATACCCGTCATATCCGTGAAACACTGAAGAACTTAAAAGACCACCACCGTTGAGGACAGAAGCAACAACACCGAGGATAAGGCGCTGGCTTCACAGGCAGCTGACTGCTGGGTGTGGTCCAAAGGCCAAAACATAAACAAAACTCCCAGGCAGGCGACGCTACAGCGTTAGGTCATTTGCCGGGCATGTGTCCTCCCAGGGTTCGAATCCCCCATCTCCTCCCCCCTCCCCCACCCCCCACGCCCGGGCATCCCAGGTGGTCCCTGAGCACCGCCAAGGAGCAAATCCTGACTGCAGAGCCAGGACTAAATAACCTCTGAGCATCAATGGGTGCGACCCAAAAAGCAAAGCAACCAACCCATCCCCAAAACAAAAGACACCCCACATGACATGAACGAAAAGCCCGATTGGATTCAAACCCTAGGGAAGGCAACACGAACTGGCCTTGATGACCCTTTCCTCCTACCTTAATCTTACGCCAGGCTATGGATTGTAGATCGCTTTTTCTCCCTCCCCGCCCCCACCCCAGCAGAGAAACGTGCGCTGCAGAGCGGGGCATTAGACAAGGTGTGACTTCAATAAAGAAAACGGGGGAAATACCTAACTATTCCTAAGTAGGGGGGAAAAATAAACAATAAAACGAATCCCGACAAACCACGTTAACAATTATCCGACTGGGGGCTGGAGCGATAGCATAGCGGGGAGGGCGTTTGCCTTGCACGCGGCCGACCCGGGTTCGATTCCCAGCACCCCATAGGGTCCCCTGAGCACCGCCAGGGGTGACTCCTGAGTGCATGAACCAGGAGTAACCCCTGTGCATCGCCGGGTGTGACCCAAAAAGCAAAAAAAAAAAAAACCCCACAATTTTCCAACTGCCCGGTGAGCTCCGCCCGGGAAAACGCAAACCACCGACAATGATTTGCGAACCCAGAATAATTTTTTTAAAAAAATAGCCCTTCCGAACCTTTTGGTCTCCCGCGCATCAAAGCTTACTGACAGCCTCAACGACCACCAAGAGTTTAGGACGGACGACCGAGACGCCCCCAGTCCCACCCCTCACCCAGCGCAGCCGGGAGCCCGCGCCGCGGAGGGGAGGAGGCCGGCCAAGGTGACGTCCCGAGAAAGGGTGGTCCCGCGTGGCCCCTCAGCCGCCCATCCTCCCGCTCCACGCTCACAGACACAGTCCCACAACCCCCTCACCATCAGATTCCGCAGCATCTTGACGCAGTGAATGGCCGCCAACCGTGACCACCGGACAGCTAGCACGAAGACCCGCCCACCGGAACCGGAACTACCTTCGACTTCCTGCGCAGGCGGGCGCTGGCCGACGTCAGCGATCCCGGGCCACGACGGGGGGCGGGCTCTCCTGACCATAGAGAGCGGAACACGAACCAAGAGCGGCCGCCGCCCGGTTGTGGCCCCTCTACCCCGCAGGCACGTCTCTCCCTTGCTCGGGATTCGGACCTGTTGGGGTTCATTCGTGCCCGCTGGTCCTCGAGGCCCAGCAGTTATTCGGGAGAGGCGTGATTTGCACCCTACTCATCAGCAGCTCTTCCGCAGGCCCTGAAACTGCGGTGCGGAAGCTCTCTGTTCATCTGAAAACGTTTTTGTCCATAGGAAAATGCTGAAAAAAAGAGGGGAATTTGTTTTTGCGATCCTTTTTTTTTTAAAAAAGTTGATGTTTTAATTGAATCACCGTGTAATAGTTACAAAGCTGCTCATGATCACGATCAATAATACAACACCCATCACTCCACCAGTGTCAGTTTCCCACCACGAATGACCCCCGTTTCCCTACCCTGCAAACCAGTAGGTCTCTATGCTATGCAGTCTCCTCTCTCCATTCCTCTCTCTTTGTCTGTCTCTCCCCCACACCCCGCCCTCCTACCCCAGGGGAATTTTTTTAAGTGGCCGACTAAAAAAAAAAAAATGGTAAAACCTAGAAACACACTGACCACTTTCCATGGCTGGTGGTGAACACCGCAACAATGGACAAGTAGGCTGTCACAGGTTGCATCACCTTTGCTTAAGCAATGCTGCTTGTTTTATTTTTGCTTTTTGGGGCACACCCAGCGATGCACAGAGGTTACTCCTGGCTCTGTACTCAGGAATCACCCGTGGCAGTGCTCAGTGGAACATATGGGATGCTGGGAATCAAACCCGGGTTGGCCGCACCCACTGTGCTATTGCTCCAGCCCCAATGCTGCTTGTTTTAAGTGTCTATTGTGTGCACAGCTGTATGTATAAACATTAAAATAGCCATCCTGCCCTATTTTCTCGCCTTTTAATAACTCATTCGATTATCATTTTAAAACTGATAATGTGTGGTTCAAAATAGATGAAATGGAAACATTAATTTTAAAATTTAGTATGAAAATTTCCCCTTTTAATCTCTAGGATTAGCCCAACCAGATCACCGGCCCCATTTCGTCTTTCTCAGCAAGTTTTCTAAGTATCCACCTCTTCTCTTCCCTAAGTGTTGGAGCTGACCCTTGTGCACAAGCATTTATTCAGAAAGCAGACACTCCCAGTGGTAGCTGGCTGAAGATTATCAGTGCCCAGGTGAGCCACACTCTGCCACCCACTCCACCTCTGTGGCACAGGGATGCTCTGAGCCCCCAAAGCTAGACCTGCAAGTCTTGTGTAAGCCTCTGACCACTAAACCATCTCCTCTGCTCCACAAATGCTTAACAGGTGAATTCTTAGTCCTTGGAAGTTATATGTTTTCTTGTTTTCTCCACTTCGTCAATTAGATTGTGAACTGCTCAAGATGACAAAAGGCGTAGTCCGACCTTTCCCTTTAATTCTTCATTTAGGTCTCAAACTTATAACCAAATATTAATTCTACTTTCCACTCCTTATGTCCAAGTCTTCTCCTGATTTGAGGCTCTGCACTTTGCTCTTTATGACACTTTGTAAGTAAGTACCATTAAGAAATCTTATTGGCCACACCTTTCGATTATAATTGCAATCTGACCTCATCACCATGCTACCAGGTTGGCACAATGATTCCAACATCATCAGTTGCTTTCATTACTGCTAAACAATTTTCCTTCTATTCTTCCATTTATCTTCCATACAGCAACAGTCCTTTTTAATTTGGGTTACTGGACTGGAGAGATAGTACAGTAGTTAAGGCATTTTTGCCTTGCACATGGCCTACCTGGATTTAATCCCTGTCACTGACAGGAGTAACCCTGGGCACAGAGCACAGAGTAAGCCCTGAGTACTACTGGATGTAGCCTAAAAACAAAAAATATTTGTTACTGACTCTGTTTAAACTGTTTTGTTAAATAAAATTTAAAAGAAAAATCGAAAAAAAAGACCTGTTTCATTCACTGCTGTATCCCTAGTCCTTAGAATAGTTAAGTGGCACATTAAAAAGTTCAGTAAATATTAAATGCACAAAAGAATAAACTTACTGAGTATGTAAATTCAAAGAATTCTTACTATTTGTATAAACATTTTTGAGTCCTGAAATTCTTGTCTCCTTGCTTTTGCTCTAAAAACTGATTATCCTGAGAGAAAACAGTATGATCTTGAGAGCTTATAGAACTTTTTAATCTTTCAAAGCACATTTGAAATGGGTTACAAGAGTTCTAAATTTGTCCTCTGAAGCAATAGAACCATTTTCCAAAGAGATTCAAAAATATCAGCTAGGACTATTTGGACTATTAGGTTATTAGACATGACTCCTCCTTTGAAAAATATTTTTCAGGATTCTTGAACATTTTAATAAAACTACATGAAAAAAATCTTCCTTACAAGTTTATGGGTAGTAAATGAAAGTACTTTGCAAAGATATTTTGCAATTGCAGATGTATATATATCACACAAAAATCAGTTACTCCGGGGTATGGTGCCGCCAGCAGGTCAATCTGTACCTGTGAGGCGAGTGCTTCAGCAGCCTGATGGTGCCTTCAGACTTCCAGATACCCCAAATTTGCTGCTGTGCCTTTGGCCAGACCCCAAAAATTTGGGGCAAAGTTTAACCAAGAAAGTAAACGGCCAAAAGTTAGGTATGTGGAAAACACACTCACAGACCACCTCCGGCTCAGCTATAGAATTGGAGGCATGGCCTCTCTGGTTCCTAACTGAACTGCTTTAATGGCCATGATCCCAGAGACTCAGAAACAAAACCCAGCGACTTTTGGCAGAAATGCGTCCGGTCCCTGCAGTAGGTTACTGGTGCTGGGCCAACCCAGGTGGGAATAGGTTTCGTGCCTTTACCTGTTCCCCCTGGCGGCCCAGTGGCCGCCATCCTTCAGAGGCTACTGGATAGTCAGGTTTGGGTCCCGAGTGACGAGACACACAGGGCCTCACAGGATGGGGGTGGAGCCGGGCCTGTCCTCCCCACCCCAATGAGACCCCAAGTCATCGCCCACGAACGGCCTCTCTGGCTCCTGATCAAGCTGCTTAACGGCCATGATCCCAGACTCAGAAACAAATCCTGAAACCCAGCGGCTTTTGGCAGAAATACGTCCGGACCCCGCAGTAGGTTACTGTCGCCGGGCCACCCCAGGGGGAAAGGGTACTGTCCTTCTGCCTGCTTCCCCCTGGCGGCTCGGTGGCCGTCATCCTCCAGAGGCCATTGGATAGTCAGGCTTGGGCCCCCAGTGATGAAACTTGATGGGCCTCATGGGATGGGGGTGGAGCCAGGCCTGTCCTCCCCACCCCAATGAGACCCCAAGTCATCTCCCACAAATGGCCTTTCTGGCTCCTGATCAAGCTGCTCAATGGCCATGATCCCAGAGACAGGAGCAAATCTCAAAACCCAGTGGCTTTTGGCAGAAATCCCTCCAGATTTAAGTGTTAAAATTTTGGAATTTCAAAATCACATGGCCTTACTGCAGCCACACGACATCATAACCAGCAATAGAACACAAATTGTCTGTCTACTGTTGTCTACTGTTGCCCTTTTAGCAGATCTGAGTGTTGGGGTAAAATCTCAAATAATAATGGTGGGTCTGGTGTCGAAATATTGAATGTGATCAAAGTAGAGTAATGTGAAAATCATCTGCCCCACAGTTAGAGGGAGGGTGTGGGATGGGGTTATACTTGGGTTTTTGGTGGTGGAGAATGGGCACTGGTGAAGGTACAGGTATTTCATTGTATGACCGAGACTTAAACCCGAAAGCTCTGTAACTGTTCTCACGGTGATTCAATAAGTTAAAATTATAAAAAAAAAAAAAAGGGAAAAAAAAGGTGGAGTTCATGCACAATTCAATCAGCTAATCAGTGGCTGAATAAATAGCAGTACTCCCCCATAAAATAAAAAAAAATCAGTTACTCAATCGTCTTCCTTTAGAAAAGCACTTTTTTTAAAAAAGAATAGTTTTTCTGTGACTGATAGGTACATTAATTCTGAAACCATGTTTAACCTACCCCAGTTATATTAAAAAAAAATAAAAAACAGTAGAAGAGCTTCAGGTGAAGCTTAATGTATATTAATTATAAAAGATTTAAATATAATTTCATACTTTGATCACAGTAAGAAATTAGGTAACACTTAGCTGCCTCTTAACTGCTATATTATTACATAATGTATCTAATTTTAAATATTTTCACAAAAATTAAGAAACTGCATTGATGATTCTTATTTTAAAATCGTTGAAAAATAATTCCATAAATCTTATGAGTTTATTCATTAAACAATAACTGTTGACCAACAATTATTAATTCAAAGCTTTATAATATGCTTGGGGAGGATAAAAACCTCACCTTTGGAAGCATATACTTTAATTAGGAAGATAACACACACAAAATAGTAAATCATGTTGCAAAGACAGTGACTGGAATAGCAGAAGTTGATGTGGGAAATTCAAGCAAAGTAGTGGTGAATTTTGGGAAAAAATTGTTCTTTTTTTAGTGCCTGGTAGAATTAAAATAAATGTAGTAGCAATTAGAAGATACTCTTTTAGGGCAAACATTTTATTAATAATCAAACATGAGCAACTTGCAACCTGTCAAAAACAGAACTCCATTTCAACATCATTCTGGCTAGTGAAATGACAGATTGAGCATGAGTTATTAAGGAGAGTCTCCACAAAAGGCTAAAAGTAGGCAAAAAATCTGAAATGTCAGCAGTCAAGGAGATGTAATAAAGGGATGGAAAAAGGGTAATAAAGTCGGTCGAAGTGACAGTACAGCAAATAGGGCATTTGCCTTGCGTGCAGCTGATCTGAGTTTGGTCCCCAGCATCCCATATGGTTCTCTGAGCACTGCCAGGAGTGACTCCTGGTACAGAGCCTGGTACAGAGCCTGGTACAGAGTACAGAGCCAGGAGAAACCAATGATCATCGCTAGGTGTGGCCCAGAGACCAAAATAAATAAATAAATGAACAAACAGGTAATGGGCTCAAGATTTAACCAAAAATCAAGAGTCATTTGTTTGATTATAAAAACGGGAAGAGTAAAATTTCTGGCTTACGGTGGTGGGTCTGTCTTATCATTCACTTCTGAGGAAAGTGAGAAGAGATGCATAGTGAGTTACAATCTTGGGCTCAGAATAAATACAAAGACACAAAACAAAACATCTGCAAAGTGGTAGCAGAAGTGATGAGAAACATGATTTCCCAGGAGTTTGGGGAACTGGGAGGAACACATGGTTCAATGTGCTTGCCTACTCTATGCCAATCCTGTTCAAAGCTCGGCATATGACCCTCCAAAACATGGTCAAGTGTGACTGCGAAAAATCACCTCAGGGCCCGAATCAGGGCCAATTCTGGGCCTTTTGGCCAAGAATTTCTGGGAGGGTCTCCTGAGGACCACGTGGAAGCTTCCTACTCCACCACCAAAAAAAAAAATAAAATTGCTCAGGAGTAAACAACCCAGAAACATAACACCAAATAATTCTGAACACTGTTTAACTGAGGGATACATAGACTAAGAGATTCTTAATGTCACAAAAGTTATGTGTTGAGGATGAAGAGGGAAGAAAAATGCCAAACTCTCAATGGAGCAAAAGTTAATTTCATTTGGCTAAAAAAAAAGAAAGAAAGAAAGAAAAAAGAGTTGAAATTGTTTTGATGAGGGCCATTTTCTTTCTATAATGTGTTATACTTTCAAAATTTTCCACATCCTTTGTTCCTCAAAACAACACCTGCTGGTGGAGAATGGGCACTGGTGGAGGGATGGGTACTCCATCATTGTATAACTGAAACCCAAGCACAAAAACGCGTAAGTCTACAACTGTACCTCATGGTGTTGCACTAATAAAAATTCACTGTCTCTGTCAAAAAATAAAAAAAACACCTGCTAAGTGATCATTAAAATTCTCATTTTACTGACAAGGAAATAATAGTTTTAAAAGTTTTAAAACTAAGGCTCATGCTGATGTGATAGTACAGGGGATAAGGTACTTCTTTGCCAGGTGGCCAACCAAGGTTCAACTCTGGGCACTACATAGTCGCTCAATAAAACTCTCAAAAAAATGGGAATTGAAAGAGCTTTCCTCAATATGGTCAAAGCCATCTACCACAAGCCCAGAGCAAGCATTATTCTCAATGGGGAGAAACTAAAAGCCTTCCCTCTACGATCAGGAACAAGACAAGGATGCTCACTCTCGCCACTTCTATTCAATATAGTACTGGACTACTTACCATAGCAGTTAGGAAGAAAAAGATATTAAGGGCATCCAGATAGGAAAAGAAGAAGTCAAGCTCTCAGTGTTTGCAGAGGACATGACATGATAGTATACTTAGAGAACCCTAAAGCCTCTAGCAAAAAAGGTAAAGGTAAAAAGGTAAAGGCCCTCCAGTTGATCGTCGATTTGCTCGAGCGGGCCCAGTAACGTCTCCATTGGAGACTTTGTTGTTACTGTGTCTGGCATATCGAATACGTCACGGGGAGCTTGACAGGCTCTCCGAGAGGGGCGGAGGAATCGAACTCGGGTCGGCCATGTTGGCCGCTTGTAAGGCGAACGCCCTACCCGCTGTGCTGTCGCTCCAGCCCCAAGTTCCTAGCAAAAAAAAAAGAACAAAAAACAAAAAACCTCCTGGAAACAATAGATCTGCAGAGTGGCAGGTTACAAAATCAATTCACAAAAGTCCATGGCTTTCCTATATACAAATACTGAAAGAGAAGAAAGTGATATAAAAAAAAAATTCACAATCATGCCTCAAATAATCAAGTATCTTGGAATCAGCTTAACTAAGGAGGTAAAGGACGTGTATAAAGAAAACTACAAAATGCTACCTCAAGAAATGAAAGAAGACGTAAGGAAATGGAGACCTGTCCCCTGCTCATGGAGTGGGAGAATGAACATTGTCAAAACGGCAATACTCCCCAAAGCATTACACGGGTTCAATGAGGTCACTTCTAAGGATACCCATGACATTTCTCAAAGGCATTGTTCGAACACTCCTGAAGCTCATATGAAAAAACAAACCTCTACGAATAGCTAAAGCAATCCTTGGGGGAAAATATGACGGCACAGAGCCCGTCGCAGCTCCTGAGCACCACTGACGTGCCACGCGCACTGCCTCCCCACCCCCAAATTCCTGTATAAACAGCGTTTCCATGAAGTCAGAAGAAAGCGGGTTTAACAGCACTCGTTAATCTTACCCTTCGGTTGTCTTCTTTGCAGCTCGAGTTCGTTTTTTCACTTCCTATGTGCCACATCCACCTTATTATTTTCACCATCCTTGTCCCTATCTCTATCAGCTATTTCCCTTCATCTAATAGCAACATTTAGCTCATCTGTCTGTAACTGACTACTTCCTTGTAAGAACAAACACTTCTCCGAAGTTAATGCTGTCAGAGAGATTACACAGAACAACGAGCAGGGGCCAAGAAGAGGCACAAAGGGACGGTGCGACATGCTTTGTTCAATCCGTGGCACCACAAGGTTCCCTAAATACCTCTGAGAGCAACCAGCAGCCACTATGCAGAGTAGCTCTCTGTCCCCTCAGCACCAACAGGTCTGACTACATAAACAAACAAGATCCAGTCACGAACATGTTAAAATCTGAACTCACTGACCCTGGGCAGTATTTGGTTCTTAACATCAGCAACAACACACAAGATTTTTTTTTTTAGTAAGACACGTGAACCGGGCAAAGTTAATTTTGTTCATTTTTATTATACAGAGCATACTAACAGAAAGTTATCTTGAATATAATCAAGGTTACAAATAAACAATTACTAGTCAATAAACAATATTCACTTGACTTTCCTCTTGGTCAAAAATTCTCTCTTAGGTAGCACAGTTATTTTTTAATTCTTTAAACCAATTTTAACTGCTTTAGGATTTCAATGACACTTCGTAGGAAGAAAATTTACTTATTTAAATAATTCCTTCAACTGGGAAACTTGATGTATCAAAACACTTTCCGCAAGTTAATGCACTTTTCATTGTCTTCTATTTGACTTAGTTGTCTTATAATACAATATGATTTTTTTTAAGTGACTCTGAAATCAATGTCTCTAAAAGATGGGCATAAATAGAGCTAAAAAGGATAGTTTCCCCTCCTCCCCATTTCAGAGGACACAGAAATGTCCCAGAGTCTTCATATTCAGCAATAGGACTTCCTCAGAGCTCAAATGGCAGGAAACAGGAAGTAACTTAAGGTCATCGTGTACTTGAAGAAAGCAAAACTCCAAACATTTAAGATTCCACCTCCAGCACAGATAAGAAAGTGTTAGTAAGTTTCTCCAACTTTCTTTAATGGCACCGTTAGTCCTCCAGTTACAAAAAGAAATGCAAGACAACAGTCATCCTTAATAGCATTACCCAATCTGAAAAGACTGGCAGAAATTTTGTCTCCCAGGGATGTTTCAGAAAATAAACTGCCGTATGCAAAAGAATCAATATCAGAATAAACACTCTGAAAGACTGACAAAACAGTATTTCTATGCACTCAGAAATTTCAAAATAATCGTGTACTAGTTACCTCATACTAGACGTTCTTTTAACTGAATTTCAGGCTACACAAAATGCAAGAAGTGTGGCACATTTCTACCATTAACTGTTAACATTATTTTTTGTTTTTGTTTTTTTAAAAAAAGTATGTACTTATCAAAATTAATACGTTACCCGGACCTTTTGATTTAAAATATAACTCAAGAAACCATCACATACTCTAAACAAGCATTTTTCTCTATAAATGAGTTAGTTTAAAAAAAGCAATTTCAGTGCATTTAAGCCACCTCTGATTAAAACATACACTTTTATGCATGTGAAAAATAAGTTTACATTCAAGAATAAGATGTCACACAAATTAGAAGAGCATTTATTAAGGAATATTAAAATTCCAGTAAATAGAAAATAACATCAACCATATATATTATAGTTTATCATGTACATATTTCAAAACCACCAGAATTTATTTAGAAAATTTAAATAACTTATTTTTTAAAGTATGTCTTAGGAAAAATTAACCAAAACTGATGCCTTAAATTAAAAAGAATGTGTATACATATCTATAATTAATCTCTATGCAAATTTTGAATTAAACAGCGAGAAAATAAAGTTTATTGTTTCCAAATTTTCTATAGTATTAGTGCTTAAGTCAAAATACTTACCTGCAAAATTAAAAAGTGTGAGGTATTTCCAATTCTGAAGCAAATTTCTGAATGCTAAATACCACAAGAATGAAAACAATCTCCTTTGAATATTTTCAACTGGTTTACAGTTAGGCAAAATATGAAGGTCTGCCAAAAAATTTTCCCATCTCAGCTATATTCTCACATCCCAAATGAAGTGTAAACTTCAAGGGAAATTCGTACATGTAAAAATGTATCAAGTGAGTCAGGGTTCCCGGCTGCATCATATTAACCAAACAGAAAAAGGAATTTTAAACTCTCCTACCTGAGAACTACCTGACATAAGCACTATTTCCTATGCTAGACAATGAAGCATCCTTTGAAATCAAAGCTATGCTTGACAACTATACTGCATAAATTGAATACATAAACCACCTCAACAAAGGTGTTAACTTTAAGCCTTTACACACAACACATGAAAATGATGAAGTGTTTTATTTAGATTTGGTCTTCTTCATCTTTTCATAACTCTAAATCCTGAAAGATTAGCAAATCATTATACTCAGACATTTTGTAATCCCTTTCTTCACACAACAGGCACACATATACATCATATGTCAATATAATATCAACATAGCATAAACATTTAAGCAGTAATAGCATTTCACATGAAAGAGGCTCTATGCATCCTAGGACCTGTCCAACAACAAAAAAAGCAGACATGAGAATGTCATTTTAGCAGTTACAATGTTGATAGGCTCAATATATCTAATTTGCTTTATACCCGTCATATATTTTCATAAGTCATCCACAAAAAGGAACAGGACACAGACTGTTTAAAAAAAAGTTATGCGCCAACCTCAAAAATGACATACTAACCGGACATCAGCATTTGAAAGCTAGGTTGAATAGGACTGGCCTTGATGCACATGCAGTACATTTGTTTTCAGAATAAAAAATTAAATGGTAATGTCAGCAGTATTACCACTGTTTCTATACTTATGATTAATTACTAGCAGTACAACTCCCAGAAGGAAGGAGATGGATCCAATAGCGATGTAAGCAATCCCCAAAAATGGATTTTTTCCTCCCATCCATGAAATTGTGCTCAAGATCATCCGTTTTCGTCCATCAAAAGAATGTACAGGGTAATCTGAAGAGCGTATAGGAAGATTTTTTCATCTCAAATTATTTTATTTTAAAAGTACAACGTAAGTGTTTAGATTTAATTTATAATTCATGGCAAACTCTGACATACAGGCATCTTACTCAGCTATTCTGAATTATGAATTGTATATTACCTTGAAAGAGCAACCTAGCAAATAAATGTTAGTAGCAAAAGTTAATATATATTCCAAGCAACAACAAACTCAACAATTATATCATTTTTCAGGTACTTAGGCTCTCATTTAAACAGATAGAGCAAAAGGCCTAGAAACACAATGAAAAAATACATCCCATGAACAGTACTGGAACCCACAGTGGAAGAAGAGGTTGATAAGACAGGAAAAAAGGATGAAGGGACTAAAGGTCTCTGTGAGCTCAAAGACCCTATGTAGCAGGTGTCATTATGCAAACATGACAGCGCCCTGAGCACAAGGTCAAAAGCAAGATATTAGGGCTGGAGATAGGGCTCACTGGTAAAGTTCATGCTTTGCATTCATGAATTCATGAGTCCTGGCTTCACTCCCTGGCACTCCAACAACAAAAAAACAAGGTTCTAAGCGTTTACCTTGTGCGCCAGAGGGATAGTACAGCGAGTAGGGCCTTGTATGCGGCTGACTAAGGTTCCATCCCCAGCACTCACCTGGTCCTCTGAGAACTGCCAAGAGTGACTCCTGAGCACAGAGCCAGGAGTAAGCCCTGAACATTGCAGGGTGTGACTCAAAAACAAAGCACACAAACATAAAACCCCTTTACCATGCTATCTTGGAGCAATAATAAAATTCCTGGTGTGACACTGGGGGATGATAGCTAAAACACTGGACATAAAAAATGGATTGCTAAAGAGATTTAAGAAGTGACCCACTTCTTATACACTTCAGTATAACAGATAAGCAATCTACATGGTTTAGGTCAAAGATTCTGACAAGAGTTCAAAAACATTTTTATTTTGAAATTATATCATATCACGGTCCTCCCATTGTTCATCGATTTGCTCGAGCGGGCCCAGTAACGTCTCCATCATGAGACTTGTTACTGTGTCTGGCATATCGAATACGTCACGGGGAGCTTGCCAGGCTCTGCCGTGCGGGCGAGATACTCTCGGCAGCTTGCCGGGCTCTTGGAGAGGGGCGAAGGAATCGAACTCGGGTCGGCCATGTTGGCCGCTTGCAAGGCAAACGCCCTACCGCTGTGCTATCGCTCCAGCCCATTTTGAAATTAGGTTTATTAATTTAACCATTTCCTAATTTTACCATTCACGTATCCATTATAAAACTATGCCTATTTGCTTAAGGCTAATTTATACTGTGAAAAAAATTTTAAATGCAAGGCCCACCAGCAAACCTTTAAAAATGCTAATATTTGAGAAACTTCCTTCATGATAATATATTCGCCATGAGTTAGCTATCACAACACGTAAGGACCTTGTTTGTAAGAAAAGAAAAAGTATCGATTTCTGTCTTGGGAAAGGAAAATAATTAAGCCAATAATTCCGAGTCTGTCTACTTGAACCAATTAGTGCAGTGAACGGCCTATGGTGGCAACTGATGCAGTCGTGGCCTTTGGAGTCAACAGCCTGGGTTCCAACTCCGGCCTTTCTATTACCTGTGTAAACTCCAGTAAGCTACTTACATATTCTATAACTACAGCACAGACAGGATACCTCCTCACCATCGATTAATTCGTAGCTTTAATTAAATAAAATAGCACATAGAAAACTGTACAACGCTGACATGTAATCAGGATTTAAAAGCACTAAAAGGTATACCTAGGGTCTAGAGATACAGTGCAGGGGGTAGGGCGCTTGCCTTGCATGCAGCCAACCCAAGTTCGACCCGTGGCGTCCCATATCGGTTCCCCAGGCACACAACCCCCTCAGGAGTCATTTCTGAGTAAAGAGCGAGGAGTAATCTCTGAGCATCTCTAGATGTGCCCCCCGCACTCACAAAAATGAACTAAAACAACACCTAAATTATTATGAAAAAAATACAGCTCATGATAAATGTTTTGGTACTATCATCATAGTATAGAATGATTATGAACAAACATGTGAGCTAACATATACTCACTTTTTTTTAATATTTAAAAATAACAATGACCCAGTACTGTTAATATAACAGTGGGTTAAGTACTACTCACCAGTCTTTGCATTAAAGTGCAATTACAATACTTTTGTATCTTATAAATAGATTGAGCTTTTCAATAGATCTAGCACCTGTATCTTGAAATAATTATACCAAATAATATTTGATATCTTATAAGAAGAAAGAAAAAGACATTTCTGGAAGATGTTAAAAGATTATTCTCACATATACACATATTTTAAAATTCAGAGAACGAAACTAAGACACAAAGTAGCATGCCATACAACTGAGACAAGGTTAGACGACATTCCTTATGATATCTATCAACCTGTGCACATGACAGAAAAAGGATACTGTATGTGATATTCAAATAGTATCGTCCAGCTGGTAATGTTGGATGTAAATCACTCTTTCGCTCTATAAGACGATACAACTTACGAAATGTAGGTAACGCTGCAGTGCGCATCCAAACAATAAAATCCTCGTTAATGAATCCATTGTTATCTTCATCCTTATCCAGAAGATATACTGGCTTAACCCAGTTTACTGGCTTTGTTGTGCCTTAAGAAGAAGGAGATGAGAAAAGGAGAGAAAAAAAAAATCCTTCGATTATGGTTTTCTTATTAATTTTCATTAGTGAAACACCATGAGGCACAGTTGTAGACTTACAAATTTTTGTGCTTGGGTTTACAATGATCAAATACCCAATTCCTCCACCAGTGCCCATTTGCCACCACGATGGATCCCAGTATCCCTCCCACCCCCATCCCCCCCATCCCCCCCGCCTCTGTGGCAGGGCATTCCCTTTTGTTCTCTCTCTCCTTTTGGGTGTTGTGGTCTGCAAAAGAGGTCTATTATGGGTTTTGCTGAAAACTTACACTACCAAAACAGAGATACGTAATTATCAGTCTACGTATATTCTTATTTACAAAGGAATAAGTAGGGTTGGAGAGAGAAAATTTAGTGGATAATGCACTTGCTTCTCATGTGACCAATTCAGATTCTATCTCAGGCACCCCATATGGTCCCCTGAGAACCCCCAGAAGTGATCACTGAGCACACAATAAATGTGGTTACAAAACCAGTAATAAAAAGTGTACCAAAGGAGTAAGTATATTTATATTATAAGAATGTCTTACAATCTAGAGAAATCAGTTCTTCATATAATGACATAACAAAGATTTGACTGCGCTTTCAATCAAGAGGACAGTAAAAGTGGGTTATTAAGTATGTGCCAAGAGAGGCAGATGACAGAGTATAAAGATATAATGGCACTAAGCATTACATTGTGAGATTAACGTAACACAGACACAAAACTAAAGTTTGCTTTATATTATGATAAGTAGGATTATCTGTTTTTATTTATTTGAGGTTTTGGAACCACATCTTCAGTGCTCAGAGCCTACTTACGGCTCTGTGCTCAGAAACGCCTCTTGCGGTGGTCAGAGGACTACAGTGCAGGATCAAACCAGGGTCACCACTGCTACATGGGAAGCAAGTGCCTTACTTCCTGTACTCTCTCTCCAGACCCCATACTAGAGATTATTTTAAAGAAATTTTGTATCAGTTTTAAGAGGTCACCGCTTGAAATGCCAGAGACAATGCCAGAGAAGTAAGAATGAAACTATATATTTAATTTAGAATTTTAGTGCATTAGAACCACATTAAAAATTTTTTTGTATTTATTTTTTTGGTCACTATGCCAATATCAGGCAGTGCTAGGGTGGGAGTCTCCAACAGCTGTACATGGTGCGAAGGATCAAACTCAAGAACTTGCACGTGCACTACTACTTGGGCCAAATCCTCAGCCTAGAATATATTACATATTCTACCTAAGCTGTTATGAAATCAAGCTGTTTTTAGGGGTTGTAAATGTGGCTCAGTGGTAAAGCATAGGCCATAAAAACGAGTGTCTGTGTTCAAGCTATAGTCAAACAAAAAAAATTTTTTTAAGTGGGAGAGATATGGGGAAGTTGTTTTTAAAAAAGCACAAACTTAAGGCTGGATAACATGTAACCCCAAAACAAAGGAAAAAAAACTAAAATAAAAAATAAGGAAAAAAATCCTGAAATAAAAGATTTCAAGTTATAAATTCATTGAAACATTTTAACTTGTAATTTATGTTCTTTTTAAAGGAATATTAATACGATTTTACCTTTGAATCGTTCTTCCAGGGATCCTTCTCCAGGAGGATTCCTAAATTTTACATTTTTATCTGTCCACCAAGCAATACCTTTCCTTTTCAAAGCAATTTCTGTAGGTTCAGAATCGTTGCCGATCAGAAATAATGTTAGTGTATCTAAACATAAGAAAAGGAAGATTTGCTATACATTTACTGAACATTTATAGTATCTGCTTTACTCTCTAAAAATTTAAGATCTGGTGTTTGCTTCCCAAAGTGTTTTTAACAAATTAGGCACATCATACACATTTACTTATTTATACATATGAATTCACTATGAAAGCTGTATTTGGTGGACAATTTATTCCTCAAAACAGTTCCAAAAATCTGAAACTTTCCTACATGGCTGGCTGATATGATGATTAGATCAAATGTTTATATACTGATCTAACACATAATTTTTTTTACTTTGTATACTGATCCAAGTAAAAAATTTTTTCAGATAACTCTGCTTTTCCTCCCTTCTTTTCAATAATGCATTCCCAAACAGGTTCTGGCTTATACATCTTTCAACCTGATTATCAAAAACTATAACCACTAGCAACACACGACTTTAGAGCCCTTGAAAGATTACTTTGTTTGGGGCGCAGGGGCATACCTACTGGTGCTCAGGGACCACTCCTGGTGGGCTTGGGGGAATATACATATATGGGTGGGACAGGGATCAAATCCAGGTTGGCCATATCCAAGGCAAGCATCCTACCTGCTATACTATCTTTTCAGCCCCAAATTAATATGTCTAATGAGTATATAATATACATTCAGTATCAAATGTAAGCCAAAAAAATAAAGTAGTCCAATTTTTACATAATGTTATGAGCATATTATTTTGCACATATAGAATTAATGAAACTTTCAATTAAAAAATATTGAAAGCTGATTTCAAAAAAGAAAGGGAGAATCTGGCTTTTAAATTATTACAGATGAAACAGGAAGCTCAGCAGAAGGTCTGCTCTTTCTTCCCAGGAATTTAAGTTTGTTTATGAAAGACGGGTGTTCAACAGTAAGTCACAAAGCATTATAATACACTGATATATTTACCTTAAAGTTGTTTTCAATTTCATTCACATTTTTTAGACTAACAAATCTGTGCTGACTATACAAAATTTCCTAATTAAGTGTCTTTCTGTGTAAACCATTAATCAAAATATGAACTGCAGCGATAGCACAGCGGTAGGGCATTTGCCTTGTGTGCAGCCAACACGACCAACCTGGGTTCAATTCCTCTGCCCCTCTCAGAGAGCCTGGCATCTTGAGAGTATCTCGCCCGCACGGCAAAGTATGGCAAGCTACCCGTGATGTATTCAATATGCCAAACAGAGTAACAAGTTTCACAATGGAGACATTACTGGGCCCGCTCGAGCAAACTGATGAACGACGGGAGGACAGTGACAGTGAACCATATATAAAACCATATCTCATACCATTAAACATGCTATTGGCAATAGCTCCACAAGGAGCAATTGGTTTGTCTTCATTTCTTCGGTAAGGCTCACATTCCTTACTGGGATTCTGATTTGTAAAAAGAAGAGAAAAATTATCACCCACGGCTCTGGGAAAATTATGGCCTACTCTGATATTGACTGAAAATTTAATCCCTATTTCTCTCATTTGCAATGAATGTATAAAAAAGGAGTCAATGTTAACAAATAACACCACATATACTCACTCAAAATACACTTATTTAATATTACAGGATTAACTTTTTATTAGTTTTTATAAATTAAATAACTATTTATGTAGAATTAAATTAATACTATTTAAATTATTTTTCTATTTTACTTTAAGATTATTGCATTAACAAAATACATTTCTTTATACCTTTGAATGTAAACTTTTCTTGCATCTACTTTCATATATAACAAAAACTGATGTTTTTAAAAATTTCCATCACTGTAGCACTGGGCTGAAGCGATAGGACAGCAGGTAGGGCGTTCGCCTTGCCCGTGGCCGACCCGGGTTTGATTCCTCCGCCCCTCTCGGAGAGCCCAGCAAGCTACCATGAGTACCACGAGTACCATGAGTACCATGTCCGCACGGCAATGCCTGGCAAGCTCCCCGTGGCATATTCGATATGCCAGAAACAGGAACAAGTCTTACAATGGAGACGCTACTGGTACCCGCTCGAGCAAATCGATGAACAATGGGATGACAGTGCTACAGTGCAGGGCTACACTTTGGAATGTGAACTTTACTTGCATCTATTTTCATATGTAATTGAAAAAATTGATGTTTTTAAAAATTTCCATCAATGAAGAAAATTTCACTTTTCACAAAGAATTTATTACTCAAGACAAACTTCTATTGATCTAATTATGACATAATGAATGGGATCTTAAATTCGAAGTCGAGGTTCCAGTTCCAACGATACTAACTATGTACCTTCAAGCGAGTCCCTTGACTTATCTGGGCCTCACTCATAAAATGAACAAGTTCAACTAGATAACAGCAAATGCTGCAATGTTGGGTTAAATCCTACATTAAAGGAAAGGAGGAAGGGAGTAAGGAAGAATGGAAGAATTTCTAGACTGTAATAGATGTTCTTAAAATGTGCATTGATTGGGGGTTGGAGCAATAGCACAGCGGGTAGGGTGTTTGCCTTATACATGGACGACCTGGGTTTGATTCCCAGCATCCCATATGGTCCCCTGAGCACAGCCGGGGATAATTCCTGAGAGCAGAGCCAGGAGTAACCCCTGTACATCGGCAGGTGTGAACCAAAAAGAAAAAAGAAAAAAAAAAGAAAAAATGTGCATTGATTGTACAAGCATACATCTACACAATGGAACACTACTCAGCTATAAAAAAAGACAAAATCATGCAGTATGTCACTATTGTTAATCGATCCAGAAAGTTATGCTAAGTGAAGTTAGTCAGAAAGAGAAAAACACAGAATGATTTTCTGCATATATGGTATATAAAGAAACATGGTAAGGAAACAACAAATGCCCAAAGGCAACAGAAACTGAGAACTGGTCTTTAGTAGGAAGTACATCACTGGAGGAGAGCTGAGGGAGGAACAAGGGGACTGGAACAACGCGAGTGCGAAGCTAACACTGATCAAGGGTGCCGCGCTGGATTGTTTTTATGCCTGAAACCCTGCCATTATCAAGACTGTAAATCATGAGACCTAAAATAAAATCTAAGAAAACAAAACAAAAACTGGGCAATGAGGAACCACAAAAAAAAAAAAAAAAAAGATGTTGGCAAGAAAAAAACCTTGATCCTATATTAACCTCTAGATGTACTTCTGACATTGCTCCTACTGAATCTGAGTAACATATCAATCAGAGTTAACCAAAATTCTACTAAACCTGAGGTTAGACATGTGACCGAGTTGTTCTGGGTTACTGGAACACATTAAGGAACGTCACAAAACGAAATTGTAGCACTGTAGCACTGTCCTCCCACTGTTCATCAATTTGCTCGAGCGGGCACCAGTAACATCTCACAACAAATTGTGAGACTTGTTGTTACTGCTTTTGGCATATCGAATACACCAGTGAGCTTGCCAGGCTTTGCCGTGAGGGCGAGATACTCTCGGTATCTTGCCGGGCTCTCCGAGAGGGGTGGAGGAATGGAACCCAGCTCGGCCATGTTGGCTGCGTGCAAGGCAAACGCCCTACCACTGTGCTATCGCTCCAGCCCCAAAACAAAACAATCAACAGAATCTTCCTAAAATGAATTATGAAGATTATGAATTATGTCCTAGTTAGGTTCATAAGGCTATTCTACTACCAACCAACCTTGTTTTTACGTTTTCAAGGTCTAGATAACTGGGAAAATAAAAAAACCTGAACAAAATCTTTTCTCAGGTTTTCAGGCCTTAGATTCATAAAGTTAGTGTTCTGAGACTTTCAAGATAAGACTATATGTAATAGACAGGCTGTTATTTGAAAGTTTTGATGAATACTTATCACCATTAGAATGTTAATGATATTTTTTTTTAAAAAGGTATTGTATATAAATAATGTCTCAAAAGGGGAAATATATTCCAGCCACTTAAGTGGTAGAGAATATATTTCATATGCATGAGGCACCCAGAATCCCCCCCAAAAGAAATCATTGATCTGTATGAATTACAGAAGTGTTTATCTGTATGAATTGCAGAAGTGGCTTTTAATCTAAAAGTCCTCACTAATAAAATAGTGCATTAAGTTTAATTTCATTCTAACATTAAATTTAATATTCTGAGCTAAAAAATTATGTCCTATACCACACTCTCATTCCTATTATTTACTTACGAGTAAAGCATTTGAATCTCCATTTAGTTGACTATCATCTCGAGATTTCACATAACGACGATGGTTTTGATAGAAATTAGATAGTCCATAGTACATAAAAACATTGCCCTGCAGAAAGGGGAAAACATTTTCATATAAAACTATTAAATATAAATTATTCATGTATATAGAAAATCTAAGTAATCTGGGTTTTACCAGTTAAAATTTGTGGTAACTTGTAATAACAGAGAAAATTCGACCAGAATTGAGCAATCTGAAAGGGTACAGATTATAAATTAGGTTAAAAATTTTCTGAATATCAAAAAGTACAGTAAAATGATCCTTGAAAACTTCAAAGTATTATTGTCAAAATAATAATAAAGTTCAAGAATTTATTATCATACACTGATCTATTTCTAGATTAAAATTTTCTACAATTCAGATTGGTATTCACACAATTATCAACTTTTCAAAAAGATAATAATCAAACTTTTATTTTTTTCTACAGAAAATGCTGAACTAGAAGTAGGACATTAATTCATCAGTGGAACAAAGTTAATATTAGCACAGGCACTTGTCTAAAATAAGTTACTTTATAAATATCAAGAAAAATACCTCCATACAGTGGACCCAAACAGAATTTACTTAGGAAAGAAAGATTATTTACAATACATTACAATTACTTACAATACATTATGATTACTTACTATACATTACAATTATTTAGATGTTTGAAGTCATCCTGAATGACTAACATATGCAGAAGTAGAAAAGACATATTTTCTCTTTTGGGGGGTGAGTTATCTAACTTATCTTGAATTAAAGGAATCCAGAAAGAAGAGACTTCATTTGCATCTTCAATAGTCTCTAACTGACTTATCATTTCCATGTATGTTGTACTTTACTAAGTTTGACTTTAAAATGTCAAATTATAGAGCTTTCCTGTTACACACACACATACACACACACACACACACACACACACACACACACACACACAGAGTTATTTGTTTGGTTAATTTTCGAGCTAAGCCTGGCAAGGCTCAAGGCTAACTCCTGGCTCTGTGTTCAGGGATCACTCCTTGCAATGTGCTTGAGGGACCATACTGAGTGCCAAGGAGTGAACCCAGACCAGCTGAATGCAAGGCATATACCCTGCCCTCTGTACTATCTTTCTGATGGTAATGGAAATTAAATCACAGAAACAAAGATCATGTTTAATAAAAGAACACCAGGCCATGGACATAACTCGAACTGCTGGCACGCACAGGGCTTATGTTCAGTCAGTCTCTGGCACCATTGGGCTCCAGAGCAGATATGAGTGTAGCCTGAGTTCGCCCCAGTATCACTGGAGCAACCCCCCACCCCCAGCAACCCGCCCAAATTGATCTCAAACCAGTAGGAACATAATATATTCAATTTATAATCTGAAATCTTCTGAAACAAAATGACTTAAAGTTATCCAAAAAGGCTATTATTAAATGTTTGAACTTGTAATGAAACAAGACAATAAATCTGAGGGTAATCACTTCTGAAGTTCTGGGGGGAATAAAAGGGGGTTTTTTTTGTTTGTTTTTTAAATGAATCACAGTGAGCTAGACCATTACAAGCTATTCATTATTGGGTTTCAGTCATACAATGTTCCAACATCCAGCCCTTCACCAGTTACATTTCCCACCTCCGATGGCCCCAGTTTCCCTCTCACCACCCTCCTAACCGTCTCCCCCACTCCACACCTGCCTGCTCCTATTGGAGGCACCTTCTCTCTCTCTCTCTCTCTCTCTCTCTCTCTTTCTCTCTCTCTCTCTCTCTCTCTCTCCCTCCTTTGTGCATTATGGTTTGTAATACAGTACTAAGAGGTCATCGTGTTTGTTCAGGGTGTTTGGTATTTTTATAGGGAAGGGAAGGCTGAAATACCTTTTTTAACTGGCTGGTGGCTTTGGGGCGTGGATGTGACTGCCACAGGGTCTCTGGAAGTACAGGGAGGTGAGGGAGCGATAGCACATATCGACCCCTAAGAAAGCTGGAGATTTCAGTCACAAAACCCACATACCCAAATTAATCTCTCTCTGAGATCCTTCCCGAGATGATGGAGTCTGGCCGGGGAAATGGTGATCATTTTGGACTGTGGGAGCTAACAGCTGCTGAGGCTTCTATTTGGGCAGGAGTTGGGCTACCTGGGCCCCCTCTGATGTGCTCTGGGTTGTTCAGCCTTGCCTGTGTTCGAGATGAACCACAGCTTTGATCTCTGAGATCTATGGGTCTCTGAAGGAAGGCTAGTAGAAGAGCTTACATGGTGGCCCTGAATTGGTTTGTGAGGCTTCCGGGGGTAAAGAGAAGTGGGAGGTTGTTGGGGGAGGTAGCCCATTCTGACTCCCAGAAAGCCTGGAGATTAGTCACAAACCCCACATAGCTGAATTTCAGCAAATTGATATCTCAGTGAGGTCCATTCCGAGCTAGTGGACTCCGGTGGTGGGCATGGTGGTAAATTTGAATTGTGGGAGCAAGTGGCTGCCAGGGGACTCTCCTTGGGAGGGCACTGGGCTAACCCATCTTCCCCTTCCCCGATGTGCCCTGGGTTGTTCAGCCTCACTCGGTCTAAGATTAACTATAGTTTTTGATCTTTTTCAAGATTTATTTGAGTCTCTGGAGCAAGGCTGATAAATAAGCTTGTATGGTTGAGCCGGAGGTGGTTTTGGGGCATGGCTCCCAATATCTTACTTTTCTTTCTTTTTTTTAATATGGAACGCTTCACGAATTTGCCTGTCATCCTTGCGCAGGGGCCATGCTAATCTTCTCTGTATCGTTCCAATTTTAGTATATGTGCTGCCGAAGCGAGCACCCAATATCTTACTTTTGGCAGTTTAATTTCTCAGAAAACTTGTCCTGAGTTGATGGAGTTCCGCCAGAGGCATAATGCTGGTTTCTGGGGTGTCAGGAAGCCTGAGGGAACCATCAGGCTGCTGATGCACTCACTCTGAGAGTCCAGGTTGACCCAGAGGCAGCACCGTGCCCCCTCGGCCCCAGTGGCAATGACAGCAGCAGCACTGGTATGGACCAGAACCAGGGCCAGAGCTGCTACCATCTGTGGCTTGGACACTCCAGGAGGGCAGCAGCCACCAGTCCAACAGAATCTGACTGGGGACGCACACCCCCATTCTCGGTCTCCAGACTATTGGCTCTGAGGAAGGTCCTCCTTTGTACTATGCTGAGGGGGGCAAGGGGTGGTCCAGGGAAGAATTAGCAGTAAGGGTCACCCTGCCAGTGACTTGACTTCGGGGCTCCATGGTGGGGACCCTGGGTGACCCCTCCCCCAAACTCTGAGACTTAAGCTCTGCAGTGACACAGATCTGAAGAGCCCTATTCAGTCACTTTTTCCCCCCTTTCTTTTTGGGTCAAACCCTGCAATGCACAGGGGTTACTCTTGGCTCATGCACTCAGGAATTACTCCTGGCAAAGCTCGGAGAACCATATGGGATGCTGGGAATCGAACCCGGGTTGGTCGCATGCTAGGCAAACGCCCTCCCCACTGTGCTATCGCTCCAGCCGCTACTCAGTCACTTTAAAACTCCACCGCCGCCCATAGCTCCAAGAGGCCGAGAACTGTGGCAACTCCACTAGCTGGTGCCTGTGCCTCTCCAGCCATCCTCACAAGTTCCACTCCGGGTGGGCCAAAAAAAGTGTTTTTAAATGGGGTGAGAAACTAAAATAGTATCTGTCATTAATTTACTGTTTCATTAATTCTGTCCTGAAAAAAGTTAGGACTAAGGACATCTTTATAGTTTGTACATCACATCAATAATGGGGGGGGGGGGGGAGAGAGAGAGAGAGAGAGAGAGAGAGAGAGAGAGAGAGTTTATGTTTCAAATCTATACCTTATTTCTCCTAAAACAAAGTAACAGAATTAAAATTCTCTCTCCAACTTTGTTCCCATGCTTTTTGTTTTTGAGACACTCCTGGCTCTGGGCTCAGGAATCACTCGTGGCACCGTCTGAGAGGGGGGAGGGAAGAGTCATGTGGTGGTGGGGATCAAACCTAGGTCAGCAGCATGCAAGCAAGTGCCCAAGATGCTGTACTTGCTCAGTCCATGCTTGTTTTTTCATAAAGGGCAGGTCACTGACCTTGATTCTCAGTGCAAGGGCATCCATATCCACTAGATGGCAATCATCTACCAGGATTACAAATCGACACTCCGTTTAGATAAACTAGACCCTGCGTTCGGCCTTTTTACACTGGAGACTGGCCCCTTTCCTGTAGAGAGCTTCAGGCAGTTATAACCCAGGTGATTTTCAACCTTTCTACACTGTGGACCAGCACCAGCCTGAGGACCAGTCTAGATCGGGTTAAAGAAAACTGACCTAGACTAGAAGAGTCTAAAAAGTTGGCATATTTTAAGCAGTTCGTAAAATTGTTAAATAAATCCCTCATATTCGAATTTGGACTAGAGGGTTCGGACGACACCCAGTGGTGCTAGAGAGTCACTTCTGACAATACTTCGGGGACCATGTGGTAGAAGCATTTAGGAGTCAGTCGCATGCAATACGACCGTTTTAATTGCTGCACTCTCTCCCTAGCCACACCCCCAAAGGCCCCTCTTCTTTAGTTTGATCTCAATTTTCAGTTTAAGGAGACCACAAACTGGTTTTTCCATAGCTATTTACCCACTCTGAATCTTCTATTTTTGGTTTGGAGGCCACATCCTGTAGCGCCTACCCTGAATCTTTACATCCTTTAGCATCTACTCAGTTATCAAGAACAGGTAAAAGACACACAGACATACACATGGCTCTAACTGCTCAAGATAGATACAAAATCAATAAAGTTTCATCAGTTTTTGCATTTTTAATAATGCTTAAGAGGTGAGAGAAAAATAACAGTACTGTGGCTGAGGAGAGAGCTCCAAGGCCTGAGTGTATGTTGTATATGTAAGAAGACTGGGTTCCATCCCTGAAACTGTATGGTCCCCAGATCCCTGTCAGGAGTAAACCCAAGCAGAATCCACAGTATATCCCAACTACTACCAGGTGTGACCCCAAAACAAACAAACAAACGAAATAACTAATGGAGAAAATATTTGTTCAGGTAAGATGTTTTCTGTTACTTAAAATAGGCAAAATCAGGTCAGAGAAATAATATAAGGGTTAAGGAGGAAGGTGGAGGGTACCTATCTTGCATTCTGCCAACTTGGTTCAAATCCCTAGTCCCACATATGGTCTATGTTCAGGGGTCACACTTGAGCAAAGACTAGAACAGTTCTTGAGTACTGCTGGGTAGGGCCCAACCACTCCCCTACAAATTGTCAAAACAATTCAAGCAATAAGCTTAAAATGCAAATAGATGCCAATATAAACTTGATTCTAAACTACTCAAACAATTTTAACATTTTCTAGAAAAAAGATAAAATGCTTCTAAATTTGTTTATAAGGTACTAACTATTCTGGACCAGAATTACAGAACAGCGGGCAGGGTGTCTGTCTTGTCTGGGTCTGACCCGGGTTTGATCCCTGGAACCCCATAAGGGATTCTAGCACCCTGAGACCTGCCAGGATTGATCTCGGAGTGCTGAGCCAGAAGTTAACCCTGAGCACTGCAGGGAGTGGCTGAAAAACTGAAAAAAGAAGTGTTAATGATTCAACTGCACATATTAATCACCAGACTGCAAAATACAACAGTCAGACAGCTCTATGAGGTGCCGGAATAACAGTACAGGGGATAGGTCATATGCCTGGCATGTAGCAAAGCTGGGTTGGATCCCCAGCATCCCATGCAATTCCCCAAGCACCACCAGGAGTAACTCCTGAATGCAGAACCAGGAGTAAACCCTGAGTATTGCTGCTTAAAAACATACACACACAGAGATTACCCAAGATAGGCAACTCTCTCTTTGAGGAGTAATTTTTCTCAAAATTTTACACTCCAATAAATACATGCATACTAGCTTTTTTAAGCTACCCAGCCCCAAAATTTGTTTACCAGCAACTTAAGAAGTTACTTCACTGGAGTCTACTATTTTGAGAAAGATTATTCCATTTCTGGAGCAATATGGTCCTCAAAGTAATGCCTGTCAGCATTAAGCCACATGGGGCCCCTGAGCACTTCTAGAAGTGGCCCAGAAACAAAAACAGGGACTGGAAAGATAGCCCTCCAACTGAATATCCAGTTTGCATGCAGGAGGCCCCAAAAGTCAACCCCGAGACTATGGTGCCCAGAGATTGCCAGGAATGACCCCCAAAGCACACTTAGGAGTACTCAACCCCCAATCTCTGTAAGACGTAGTTCAAAACTGAACCAAAAGGGGAAAAAAAAAACAATAAGTTTAAACACATGGCTTTCTAGTATTTTACTTAATAATACAGACCTCAAATGACTGTTCCAATGTGAAGTTAATGGTACAATAACAAGGTGTTGAATCTGAAGACAAACATTTATTGCAGGGACTGGAAGGGTCTGTTCCGGTATAATCAATCTGCAAGAGAAAACATATAAAATTTTCATTGGAGAAAGTGGGTAAACACTGTTTGAATATACTACTACGGGAGAAAATGAGTTAAATGAACCCACTTGTAGTCAGAAACAAAACTTGATAAAGGCATCTTACTTTGACAGTGTTAGTAAAACTGAAAATCCTCCATTTAATCCTTTAAGTAAACTTCTCTTTTCTTTTCACCCAAAATAATGCGCTGTAATAGGGTTATTTTTATTGTTTTAATTTGCAAGCTGCTAATAATAACTGATGCCTAGCATCTTTCATGTGTATCTTGCCACTCATCTTAATCCAATGCTTGTGTCCAGAACCCCTAAACCCGATATGCTGAAGCCCCAATACCCTAAGTAATGGCCCCTTGAGGTGGTGTCTAGAAGGTAATTTCATCTAGATAAGGCTGAATCTAGGACCTCCAAAATGGAATTGTGGAGGAGAAAGAAAGGAGGAAGTAGAGTTTTTTTTGTCTTTCTGCTACGAGAGGGCAAAGTGAGAGCCATAAGCAAATCTGGAAAAGGGTCCTTAAGAGCAACCGAATCTGCCAGCAATTTGATCTTAGGTTGATATGAGAAATAAACTTCCTCACTGAGTATGTTCTTTTATAATCGTATGCTTGAGCTAAAATAAGATTTTAATACTGAAAAATGGGATACTGCTATAATAAGTATCAAAAAAAGGCAGAAGTGACTTTGAAACTGGATAATACATGCTGGGGCTTCAAGGTGAAGACTAAAATGTAATGAGAGTCTGATAAGTTCTCAGTATAAAAGAGGGATTAGAAAGTTTCTATTTCTCAGAAAAATGACCACAGTCAGTAATAGGGATGATGAGCAGATCATTCTGTTCAAGTCTTATATGGAAATGAGAAAAACGTTAATGGAAAATGGAAAAAAAAAGATAATCCTTGCTATAAAGTGGCAAAGACTTTGATTAATTGCGTCCTATTGTTTTGGTGAAGCTAAGAACTTGTGAGGAATGAAATGGATATTTAGCTGAGAAGACTTAGTTACACTTGACTGCTTACAGTAAAATGCAAGGAGAAATTAATGAAAGAGACCAGAGCTGAAAGATTTAGAAGATTCTCAGGACTTTATATTACGAAGTGAGAAAACCTGTTCTGAAAAGAATACTGCGTCTAGCTGAAAAAGACATCAATGTATCATGCACCAAATCAGCCGATCTAGCAGGAACACTGAGAGTTTGAGCAGAAGAGTCAGAACAAAAGCCTTCCCCAAAGTGATGGCATTTGAAGACTGGGCCTTGAGTTTAGATGAGGTGGGGCATCCAGGACGCAATTAGTGTCCTAGTAAAAAGAGAAGAGAGCTCTTCCTTTCTGCCAACTTGAGAACACAGCAGGAAAGGTGGCCAACTGTAAGACAGGAAAGGTTCTCCACCAAAACTGTACCATTGGACTTCCTAATCCCATGGGCCGTACATGAAAAGTTAACAGCTATTGTTTTAAGCGCTAGACTAACCACATTTTGTTCTAACAGTCTAAGCGACCTCTCTGATGAGGTATCTCCAGGTTTCTGGCAAATTTCTGTCCTTTTTAAATGAGGCCACACTCAGCAGGGCTCAGGAGGCACTGAGGCTATACCCATAGGGGGTTGGGAAGGGACAAGATACAGTGTGAGGGATTCAACTCAGGGCTTCACAAATGGGCTCTACTATGAGGGTTTTGTTAATTTGTTAAATCAGGTTTGTTCATGTGTTTTAAGTTCTGAGTTTCTTCTACACCTGCATCTGAGATTAATAGTCCTCTACCAGGGGGTCTTTAAAAATGCTTTGGAGCATGAAGAAATGGTCCACTGGCTTTGAATGCCTGCCCTGCACGCATCTGGTCCCAAGTTCAAATTCCTGGGGTCGATTTAGTGGAAAGTCTGAAGCACATGGGGAGTGCCAAGGCAAATAACAGTAAGCACCAAAGCTGCAACTTTCAATCAACCATGAACTGGAGGTACGAGAGAGGAAGGATGGCTGAAACAGAAGTGACATAGGATCAAGGATGGAGAGTCACAGGCATATTGTGGAAGTAGTGTGTGATAACTTTGTATATCAATACCATAAATTGGAACACTGCTGTAGCCCTATTACCTAAACTACAATAAAAGATCTCCAGTGTCACCATATGCACCAAGTACATATAATCCAGATGTCTGTAATCCCTAGAAGACCAAGGACTTCCAGGTACTGCAACCAGGAAAGAGTGGACCTCAAAAAGCATCACAACTGAAATAATAGACATGCAAGTGCCACAGTCAGGAAGTACAAACCTGACATGTATGAGCATCAGAGCAACCCTAAGAAAGAACTACAACCGTAACTTTTGTCCCTCAAATAAAGAGTGCCATCCCCAAGAAACACCTTATGCACCCCAAACACCAAAACTTTAGGTGGGCAAAAACTTCACTGACCCCCTCAGCCAAGTGTGCAAGTACAGCACCTTGAAGTAAGGCCCCTGCCAAGCACCCCAGCTAGTGTGTGTAGGACCGCATCATTAAGAACAATACTAACAACAAGGGAGGAAGAAATAAAAAATATTTTTAATTAAAATATTTTCCAGCTTCTCTATTCCCTTGATAAATTATTTTACAATGAACCCTAACTGAATAGCTTTACCTTAACAGAAAAAAAAATTAATCAACTAACATTTGTGAAAGAACATTGAAGCTTTATGTATGAATGTCCAATCTATCTTCATAACTGAAAAGGTTAAAATATGAATACAGTATCTGTATTGAAAATTGGGGCCGGAGCGATAGCACAGCGGGTAGGGCATTTGCCTTGCACACGGCCAACACGGGTCGATTCCCAGCATCCCATATGGTCTCCTGAGCACCACCAGGAGTAATTCCTAAGTGCATGAGCCAGGCGTAACCCCTGTGCATCAACGAGTGTGGCCGAAAAAAACAAAAAAAAAAAAATCGTAATGCCCCAAAGTGGGCTGGGGTGATAGCAAAGCAGATGCCTTGCTCATGGCCGACCTGGGTTCGATTCCTCCACCCCTCTCGGAGACCCCGGCTAGCTACTGAAAGTATCTCGTCCGCACGGCAAAGCCTGGCAAGCTACCTGTGACATATTCGATATGCAAAAAAACAGTAACAACAAGTCTCACAATTTGTTGTGAGACATTACTGGTGCCTGCTTGAGCAAATCAATGAACAATGGGAGACAAGCGCTACAGTGCTACAGTACCCAAAAGTAGAGAGAAGAAAGAAGAAAAGTGCCTGCCACAGAGGCAAGTTGTTATTGTTGGGGGATTGGGGAGGTGGTGTTGGGGAAGATGACAGGAGAGATACTGGAGACATTGGTGGTGGGAAACGAACACTAGTGGAGTAATGGGTATTGGAACACTGGAAGACTTCAACTCAACCATGAACAGTTTTGCAATTGTGTATCTCATGGTGATTCAAAAATATATACATATATGTGTGTGCATATATGTGCAGAAAATAGAGTCAGCATCTAATTGCTACACCTACTTTCCCTAAACCAAAAATTAGCGTAATAAAACTTAATTTTGTCAAATTATTATATAATCAACTAAAATGTTCTGCATTAAAAATTATGTGTTCAGGGGCTGGAGAGATAGCACAGCGGGTAGGGCATTTGCCTTGCACGTGGCCGACCCGGGTTCGATTCCCAGCATCCCATATGGTCCCCTGAGCACCGCCAGGAGTAACTCCTGAGTGCAGAGCCAGGACTAACCCCTGTGCATCATCGGGTGTGACCCAAAAAGAAAGAATTAATTAATTAATTTTAAAAAAGCAAGATAAGTTCAAAAAAAATTATGTGTTCCGTAAAGAAATGTTTAGAAAAATCTTCATTCATTGAAAATATCTAGAAGAAGGTAAGCATAACTAAAACTAAAAGCTACGGTCTCCTAAGTGAAGCGAAGGAAAGACTGTCTCTTCCACAAGACCTACTGGGCCACAACTTCCTACCCAGGATCTATTCATGTTTAGAACTGCACTTCAAAGCAACGTTTATTATTCTAAAATGTTGAAAAGTCATTAAGATCTCAACACCAGAAGAAGAAAAAAAGTCTCATGTCAATTGTTTCTAATTAAAAATTGAACACATTTAATTAAAAAAATCCCTATTTTGTATCTTAAGACTAAAGGATTTTTATATTTGTTTTGGGCCACTCACTCCAGGTGCTGATCTCAGAGTTGCTCCTGCATGGTTGGGGGACCATGTGATTCGGAGAGTTAAATCAGTTCTTCTAAGGCAAAGCATGCACTCAGACTGCTGACTACCTCTCCAGACTCCAAAGGATTTTCATTTATTGATTTAGTTTAATATAGGACCAGCTGTGCTTAGGACTTACTCTGAGCTCGGGGATCACTCCTGGTGGTGTTCAGGGAGCAGCTGTGCTTAGGACTTTCCTCTGCCCAGGGATCACTCAAGGTGGTGTTAAGGGACTATAGGAGGTACCAGGGATCAATCCTGGGTCAGCCACATGCAAGGCCCTATCCACTATAACACCACTCCAGTCCCAAAAGGATTTTTATTTTTAAAGCTGTCAAATAGGCATATCACAATATTGCATCCCTTTGACTAGAAACTTCTAAAATCATTTTTTTCTAATTAATTTATAAGGGAAATGAGGAAAATAGGAAAGGTAAGTAGTTCTAACTAAGAATAAAAGGTAAAGGTAAAGGTAAAGGCCCTCCCGTTGTTCATCGATTTGCTCGAGCGGGCCCAGTAACGTCTCCATTGGAGATTTTGTTGTTACTGTGTTTGGCATATCGATATATCACGGGTGGCTTGCCGGGCTCTGCCCCGCGGGCGAGATACTCTCGGTAGCTTGCCGGGCTCTCCGAGAGGGGCGGAGGAATCGAACTCGGGTCGGCCATGTTGGCTGCGTGCAAGGCAAACGCCCTGTCCTACCGCTGTGCTATCGCTCCAGCCCTATAACTAAGAATATATATTACTATTTAACTGAATGAAAGCAATATAAAGGAATGTGAAACCTAATAAAT